TTAATAGTTTAGTCACACAGTATGTGTTTGTAAGATATAGTGATGAGAAATTTGACTATAAGATATGGGATCCAGTGAAAAAAAAAAATAGTAAAAAATAAAGATGTAGTCTTTAATAAAAAAAAACTATAACAGATCTCGAAAAAAATGAGAAAACTACACGAGTTATCATTGAGTGTGATATTTCAATACCAACAGAGATTCACAAGAAATAAGCAAAAAATAGAACTTAGGGATATGAATGAGCCAACCATAATTAGTAATGAGTCAGATACAATTGGTTTTAAGTAGAATGAGCAATCCTTTCTACCTCAGAATGTTGAGCAAGGTGAGTAGTCATCTCCACCAGAAAGTGTTGAGCAAAGGGAGCTACCTTTGACATTAGATGGTGTAGAGTCTCAACCTAAGAGATTTACTAGATGGCATGACCATCTATCAGGTATCTAAGTTTATATTTTATTTTAGTTACTAGTAAGGGGAAGCCAAAGAGCTTTCAAGATATACAAGTTACTCTGAATAGAAAACACTGATTAAAAGTAATGAAAGAAGAGATAGAGTCATTACGAAAAATAATACATATGATCTTATTAAACTTAAAAAAAAAAAAAGGCCGTTAAAGAATAAATTTGGTGTTTAAATTGAAAAATGATAGTGATAAACTAGTGAGGTATAAAGCTCAATTGATGGTGAAAGCTTTTTTTTTTGAAACCAAACATCGATTTTGATGAAATTTTCTCTCTAGTTATGAAGATGAGTTTCATTCAAGTGGTACTGGGATTAGCAGCTAGTTTGAATCTTGAGCTTGAGCTTGAGCAACTTGATGTCAAGACTGCATTCTTGCATGGTGACTTACAGGAAGACATTTATATGAATCAACTTGAAGATTTTGAAGTGAAAGAGAAATAACACTTAATTTGCAAACTGAAAAAAAGCTTATATGGCTTGAAATAAGCTCCGCGATAATGGTATCAGAGCCTAGTTTGGGGGAACACCTAAATGAGAGATGTATTGAGTCAACTTGGAATGCAAGCTTGAAGGAGCATTGAGACAACCTAGGTGACAAGGTTGAGTGCTATGGCTTAACCTAAAAACGCATTAGAGACATGAGATTGTCTGACCCAAAAAAAGATATTGATAGAATTTACTTGCACAAAAGAACCGATGTGGGACTTGATGAGAATTCACAAGCGAAAGGAAAAGTTGTGCCTTGGCCTAAAAGTGCACTAGAGATGTGAGGTTGCCTAGCCAAAAAAAAATGTTGATAAGATTCACTCGTATGGGAGAGATGAGATAGGACTTGATAAAAACTCACAAGTGAATAAGAAAAATTGTTGGAATTAGGTTCATATGTGAGTAAAAAATCACATATCACTAAAAAATTTGAATGAGATATCCATATATATATATACATAAAAGATCCAATAACCTAATAATTTAAGTTTTTGAATTCAAATAATATCTAACATATATAAATGAACTCTCTAGTGTACTTTTGTAGGCTTCTAATGTGGCAAATCTCCCAATAATTTGCATACCAATGTGCTACAACAGTAATTTAGGCGAGGTCGAGGGGGCTTATAATTAACTAGCTAGCTAGATAGGGCCAAGCAGTATTCACGTCCACCCTTTTCAAATTAGCTATGATTCTAAATCTGAAGTTGAAACAAGGTTAAATGGATGTAGGCCACAGCCACGGCTAACATTTTTATTCATTGATTTTGAACACTATTACGATCTTCAAGAGGAGAGACCAGGCTAGCGATTGGGCTAGCATTTTTCATTTGTTTTTTTTCAATGACAAGGATATTCACATTTTACGCTCACCATCATATGAGATGGATTTGTATATTGTAAGAGTAACAAGTGACGGAATAGAAGAGCTATTTAAAGTTTGTGCGTCGTACGCGAAACAGTTTATAATTGTATCAAGTTTCTTTTCTAATGAATGGAATTTTAATTATTCCAACAAGAAAATCCAAAGAGATTATCACGGAAAACTGAAACCAGTATTACATACGATCTGATGTTTGTAATCATGGTTCTATCTTAAGTATTCCCTTTGTTTTGAGATTTATGATTCTTTAGTTTAACTGGAAGGAACGTGAACTGAGTTATTTCCTCAACAATGGCCAAAACTTTGGTGGTGCAAAATGAAGAAAACTTAATGATCATACAGGTGAAAAAGTTAAGCTATAATGTGTGTATATAAATATTAGTAAACAATCCTAAAACCATTGAAGCCAAGTGACTGTAGTGCTACCCAGATATAATCATGTTCAATCATTACCAATACAAGCACAATTGTAAGGACCATCAGCCTAGAAGGCAAAACCAAAGACACAAATGGTAACGAGACTCAATGCCAAGGAAAGCTTGGAGGAGATGAGAAACTGAGCACTGCTCTGAACTGGGCCAGGTGCCAACATGTCTGAAGGTGGGTTTGCAGGCGATGAACTAAAAGTAGATGGGCTTAGACTTGCATTGGGCCTACGGTTGGTGGTGTGACCTATACATCACCTTTTTGGCCTGTTTGGCAGTGGGCAGGAACCCTGCAAAGAAAATAAAAGTAGCCAGGCCTTACGAGGTTACGCAGTCGGAACCAGAGGTGTAGGTAGCGACGGCAGATGTTCCTTTGCATGACTGAAACCCACGATTCTCCTAGCAGAAGCCACCATCAAATCACGAAGCAACAGAGAGAAGCGGGGAGTGCAAGACACTACAAAAGCCAAAAGAGCGAGAGAGCTTGGAAATTAGTAAAGAGAAACCTCGGTGCGTCGCTTATATATATATATATAAAATAAGGAGGTTTTTTCCTATGATAATGATCTTAGTTCTAGTGTCACGGACCTAAAGGAGAATCTTGAATCTCACATCAAACATAATAGAAAGGTCACTGGGGTATAAAAGGGTTCACACTATCTCCATCTTGTGAGGCACCTTTTGTAGGATAAAACCGTGAGGCCAGGGGGCCAGAGCCGATAATATTTCACAAATGTGTGAATCGTGGTAGGAAGGCTGATCTGGGACGCCGAAAGGTTGAATGCCCAGGTCCCGAAGCCTCGCGGGTTCAAAGCTTGAGTCTCGACCCGTGACAAGTAGTATCAGAGCCAACCATAAACCGTTCGATTCACGCCAAGCACCTCGAGGGAGGTAGACAGGGTGACCAGCCTCTGTGACGAGGGTGTCACGAGGTTGAATGCAGGAGAATGTTACGGACCTAAGAGGGAGTCCTGAATCTCACATCGAACATAATAGGAAGGTCACTGAGATATAAAAGGGTTCACACTATCTTCGTCTTGTGAGGTGCCTTTTGTAAGATAAAATCGTGAGGTCAGGGAGATTAGAGCGGACAATACCTCACAAAAGTGTGAACTGTGGCAGAAAAGTTGATCTAAGACGTCGGAAGGGTGAATGCTCGGGTCTCGAAGCCGCGCGAGTTCGGAGCTTGAGTCTCGACCCGTGACACTAGCATCAAAAGGATGTATAATGGACTGCCAATAATATATAAAATAAAAAAAATCATTACTTCTACTTTTATCGAAGGGGCAAAGAATGAATATTAGGGATGATAATGAGTTGGAATGGAATTGAATAAATTTTATTTTTTTTGCCAGATTTAATTTTATAAAATAAATATTTAAATTTGATCCAATTTGACATTAAAATATTTTTTTTTATATTTGATCTAACCACATATATATATATAATTGTAATTGATCCAATTTGACTTGAAATTAATTTAATAATTTTAATTTAAAATAATATTTATAAAATATTATTTTTTAATATAAATTATATCTTAATTCTATATAAATATAGTATTTTTTTTAAGTTAATATCTTAAATTAAAGTATTGCATAATAATTTTATTAATATAATATATATAATTAAATAAATAATTAAAAAATTATATATATATATAAAATCAAGTTGGGGCTAAATTTTTTAAAACTCGACTTTAACTTTATTTTTAAAAAAATTTGATCATATCTGACCCAAAATTCAATTTACAACAACCATTTAAAATCGGATCGAAAGAAACCCAATATGATTGAATATTCTTGGCAACCCTAATCACCACCTTAAGGTAATGTTTGGATAAATATTTTATAAAAGAAAGGGAAGGAAAGAAAAGAGAGGAAAATAATTTTTTTAAAAATAAATAAAATGATATACCAATTATTTAGATAATTAAAATTAATAAAGGAAAAGAAAGAAAAAGAATCTTAACATCTATTGTTTAGATAAATAGTAAAAAAGAAAATAAATGATTTATTATAATAATTTTTTTCAATTATAACATTTCATTGCTTGTGATTTTAGCATACTCTTAGATCATGATATGTTTATCATATTTTATGACCTTACAATTGTTGTTATATCAATGATTTTTAATTAAATAAAATAAAAAAATATTTTCTAAATATGCATTGATGAATTTTTTTGTCATTGCAACATTTTTAACACACTATCACTTTGATGATGTATTCATATAAAAGTTATTAAATATAAAAAATGCAATCACATAAAAATATTACCTATCATAAACCCAAAAAATATGTTTATTCATATTCAATCATTCATCAAAATTAAATCGTCAAATAATTATAAAAATATTTATATTGAAAGAAACATATAAAATTTACTTAAAAAAAGAGATGGTTTTGAAAGAATTACATAAAATTTATGATGTGGTTCAGTTTTTTTTATTAAAATTTTAATATTATAAAAAGATAAATATAATAGTCTTTTTATAAAAATAAAAATTTTTTAACTTTCATTTATTTAACTTTTCCTCCAAATTAGAATATTAAAAAAGTAAAAATTACAAAAAAATCAAAGACTATTAAATTTCTACAATTTTTTCTTTCTTTTAAATTAAATATTTATTCAAATAAATTTTTTTTTGTTTCTATTATTTTTTTTTATTTCCCTCGATTTAAATATAGTGTAAATCAGGGACGTACATATGTGGGTTAGACTGAATCCGAACCCTCTAATTCCAACGGGAATATAATGGCGTGCCCTAATCTGGTTGTTTAAAGGCTCGGCCCACGATGTATTTGAAGCGTAGACTATCCAAACCCGTCCCGGCTCATACCTGCAAATAGATTTGGTGATAAAACCAGATTCGGCGCAGAACAAACGTAAACGTGCAACCAAACATAACCCACACCAGGAAGCTCCCGAGAGCGAAAGTCGAAAAGTTCTTATCCACATCCCCATAGCCTTCCATCCTTTCTTAGCTCGTTGACAAGCCAAGACCAAGCTCTCAGCTTTAAAACGCCAACAAAATCCATAACCATTTTCTGTTATCGAATGGCTGCGCCTTTTTCTTCAACGACCCCCTTTCGGTCCATTCTCAGGCCCAATCTTAATCCACCTAAATGCTTCCTCTCCCCTTCAGGTTTTCTATTCTTTCTCCTTTCAGTACGATTTTCAGTGTTTTTTTAGAGAGCATTGTTTTGTCGGTTAACGAGACAAGTTTTCCGCTAACAGATTGTTTCCGGATGGGGTTCGATTGCGTGAAGCGCCATTCCAGCAATGTTAATGTCTACTCATTGAGCTCGGCTGCAAACTACGCCAGGCTTCGTCAAGCCGCCGTTAAATTATCCGGCAAACCTGCCGTTGTTAAACATTTGCTACATAAAAGGCAAGTTGTTTACTGAAACTAGCTTTCTAAGTGTTTGAAGAAATGCTACAATGATTCTCTAAGATAGCACTGTGGTTTTTTCTCTTTCTCTTTCTTTTTTTTTTTTTTGTTTTTTAATATGTTTATTGTTTTGAAATGTGTAGAGTTGGAATCGTGAGGTGTGCAACTATTGAAGAAATCGCAGCAGCGAAATCTTCCATTGAGAAAGATGCTGTGAGTGTCTTTATTAATTCTAATAAAGGAATTTTTTAATAGAAGTGGGGTATAGAAATTATAGTTATTATTTTTTTCTCTCTTTTATCAGAAAGGGAGAATGGAGAAAACAATTGAGACAGTTCGAACCAATTTCAATTCCATTAGGACAGGGAGGGCAAATCCGGCAATGCTTGACAAAGTTGAGGTATTAGTTTTCGTATTACTTCACATGGTTCATTTGGGATTATGGGATGTTATGTAAGCAAGCTTTTTGAGAAAATGGTATGTCAAAACCATGTTTAGGACACTGTATAAAATATATTGAATTTGTTGATTCTAGGATTGAATTCTCATTATTCAATTTGAGGGGTCAGAGAAAGACAGAATTGCTTGCTTAATATTCATTAGTCTATATAGCTAATGATATTTATGTCTTTCAGATGAGAAGTTGATCTTAAAATGTTACATTGATTTCTTTTGGCTTAGCAAAGGTTACTAATTTGTTCTAAAGCTAAAATATCACCTTTTTCTTGAAAGATTTAATACTGTGCTGTTTTAGGTGGAATATTATGGAACTCCTGTCAGCTTAAAGAGTATTGCTCAAATAAGTACTCCTGATTCAAATTCTCTATTGGTTCAACCATATGACAAATCCAGGTATTGGGAAATCAGCGATGAACATTAGTTCAGATTTATCTTCTCATGTGTGTAGTGGGCATCTCTATGCTTTCTCTCTATGCCTTATACTATATTTTGACATGTAACATTTTTCAGCTTAAAGGCTATAGAGAAAGCAATAGTCAACTCTAATCTTGGTATGACTCCAAACAATGATGCTGAAGTCATTCGGATGTCTCTCCCTCAATTGACAACTGAAAGAAGAAAGGTATCTTTCCTTTTTCTTGATCATTTGGCATGTGGGGGACGAAAATTCTTTTTATAGCATCCCTTGATTTAAAATTATTTATTATAGAAGTATGCTATATTAAAATAATTATAATTTGCCTTTAAAATATTATTTTTTCCCTTAGTTCTCTTATGTGCTCTTCCTAAATAATACAATAATGCTGCCTAAAACTTTACCTTTTGGTGATCTTTTTTTCTTTTTTTTTTTTTGCTGTTGTTTTTGTGAAAATTTTCGATACCACGTGTATTATGATCTCTCTCCATATATCTGTCTAATCGCATGACCTAGTCTAGTGAGTTAACCTGACCATTATTTATATAATTGCATGCAACTAACTCATTATTCTTTTTCTGCTTTACAGATAACCATGGGTATTTCTTTTTTGTTTGTGAAGCATGTAATATTCTAGCAGTGAGGCTTGGTTGTAAAACAAGCTTATCTTTTTGTTGATGTTGCTGCACTAGCGATGCACTATCACAAGTGCAAATACAGTGAAAAATTACCTGTGTTCTTGGAGCTACTTTGACCAAAATTTGCAAATCTTGTTATTTGCACAATTGAAAATTATGTTGGATATTCCTAAAGAAAACTGTTGGCAAGACATTCTTTTTTTAGTAGATAAAATGAAAGCATTAGTGGTAGACTTGATTTGCTAATATTTTGGGATATTGTATTTTCTTGAGTTGTACTTAGCAAAGTTTCTTGAACATGCTTCTAGAAAGTTTGATTATTTGTTTTCTCTATATTTTGCATGATTGCAGGAATTGTCAAAAGTGGTGGCCAAACAAGCTGAAGAAGGAAAGGTAACTTGAAACTTATGTAATTTTGGTTTGAAATTCAGCCACTAAACTTGATGATTACTTTTATCATTACACACTCTCTCTCTAAAAAAAAAAAAGAAGCTTTTTGGATATTTAAGCTCAAGATACATGCATCCTGAATGATCCTAAAAGGAGTGTACTCATTAAGCAAAAGCAAGTGATGAAAGCAACCAACAATCAAATGGAGTGTAAATGTTCAACTTATAATTGGGTTGTCTTGGTCAGTAACCTTTAAATTAGATTGAGGGAAAAAAAACCTTGATGGCTTATAATTGTCTCCTAGCTCGTGGGAGAGCTAAGATTCACTTGTATTAATACATGAGTTTTTAAGCACATGCATTCTAAATTTGCATTTGTTGGGTTAATATTTTGTTCATGGTGGGTTGTAGACTATATTATGTTACTGATTTACTTAAATCATTGTCGGTCAACTGTTTATAGGTGGCAGTGAGGAACATAAGAAGAGATGCCCTTAAAGCCTATGAAAAGCTTGAGAAGGCTTGTAACTTTACAGTACCTTTGGTTCATGTTTCTTTGCTTTCTTTTACCTGGTTCATGTTTGTTGAATCATCTTTTGTTGACATTGTTTTTTTATTTTATCCAGGAGAAAAAGCTGTCTGAAGACAATGTGAAGGACTTATCACGTGATTTTCAGGTAACTTGAGATTTAACCTCTTTACCTTCAATTTCATCGTCATCTGTATCTATCTTTTGTGAACTAAATCAATGGAAGATGTGTTTTTGTCACTATAAGGTAGAACATAGATGCAATTGGTCGTTGGTCATGAAACTAATTAGCACTCTAAATGGCTTGGATGATACTGCTGAGATGATCCACAATGCCTGGGGTACTTTCACTATGTGGGTTCTATGATTTCATCCAAGAGGCATGAACAAAGTGTTATGGTTTTATGGACATTTGGTCACTCGTTTAACCAAATTCCCATTTCCTTGATGTTTGCAATAGCTTATCTGATACTGGTGCTATTACTTCCTGAGTGGAGAAAATGTATTATTGACCCTACAGGCAGTTACTCTGAATCCCTTTCAGCTGCCTGTTTTAGAGAACCCTAGAAGTATAGACTATATAGGCTTCTTATTTTATTTAATTTCTTTTCTGTTGATAACTCTATACCTGCAATACACGTGTCTTTGCATTGGTGCATACGCATTTATGCACATATATTTATGTTCCAATGAATAGGTCTATTTGGTGGTTTGCACATTCCTGATAGTACTCAAGTTTGTGAAACCTTCATTGTCACGCAGAAACTCACAGATGAGTATATCAAGAAGATTGATAGCATCTACAAGCAGAAAGAGAAGGTATGCTTTGTAAAAAAAAAAAGTCCATTTGTTTAAGAAAAACAACTCCACTATTTTTGCCATTCTTTTTTGCTTCAGATTTAACCTAATGCTCCTGTAATAAATTGATGTTTTTCGCATGTTTTTTATCTTGTGTCAGGAGTTGCTGACCGTCTAGTGGTTTTTGGTACAAAGATGTAAAGTGTTGAACTTCCTTTATATTGAGAGAAAAAAAAAAGTTGTCTTTGTTTTCTTTACTTCGGGTGGGGTTGGAATCTTGTGGTGCATGGTGCCTATACATACAAAAGATGATTTTGAAAATTCTTGTGCTAAGGGTAGATATCGTGTTTTGAAACGAAATGGAAAAATCGAAATCCATGACCTCTGTTTAAAGGTTGAATGTATGTATATTAATCTTCAAAACTCTTTAATGTCATGGCTGGACATAAACACGTTCTTATAAAAATTGTGTATGGTTTCCAATTATCTGTGGTCCTTTTGAGATTTTGAAGCCGTCTGATCTAAGAACTCTGTGCTGGTACTATCATATCCACATGTGGTGTATAATTGGCTACGTAACTGGTCTTCATTTTGTTTTGAACAACAAACAGCGTGAAACATTTGTGGATGAGGCCCAAGTTTGACAACGTTGTTTCACTTAATAAAGTTGGTGCTGGATCAGAAAATTTTTCTCAACAAAGCTTTCTTCAGTCGTGAACCAATGTCCTAAACCATATTTACTACAATTTTCCAACACATAAATGCATGTGCTGTATTGATTTAAAAGGTGGTTTTCTGCTTCCTGCAAAAAAAAAAAAAGAGCTTTTTATCTATACTGTGGATCAAATTTTCTAGCTTTTAACAAAAGATCTTAAAGGATTGCTTTATTTCACCAAGAATCTGTCTCTCCATCATAGGCCACCAGCCCAATATGCAATATGCACCAAGTTCTTTTACCACCCCTAAGAACAGAACCCATAACTCCTGATAGCTCTATCAACAGCACATTCTTGTTGCAAATTTAAGTTACCATAGACGACGCGGGTTCGCGACCTCTAGCCGAATCGACTGAAATAATTAGCTAGTCAGCATCTCTCTAGGGGTCCAGGATGTCTTTAAATATGCATGACATAATTCCAATATAAGAATCACGATAATTTTCTAACTTTTTTCATTTTCATCGAATCCAACTTAAAGCTGTCTTTCATAAACAATTCTTGGAAATTTTCTCACGAATAAACTAGTATCTGTCCCAATCCCAGGACCACTAGCATTGGTCCCTTTTGATCCAAGACAGTTTCTCTTATTATATTGTTTGTTCTCATTCCTTTTTATCCTTTTTTTTTTCAATTCATTTTCCAACTAGATCGCATACGGTAGAAGGAAGATGAGATGCTTTAATTTGTTTACTTTAAGTTGGGCAAATCATATGCCCCTTCTTCCACATTTCTATCCAACAAACAAAAAAGTAAAGAGGCTAATCTTTAATGCCATCATCACTCATCACCCCTCATTGCTTTTAAGTGATGTTATATGGAAAGTCGACTTCAATCTTGTGAAATAAGATCCAAGTGACCCCAACTCTCTTACATAAATCCTTGAAACTTTAGCTGAGAAAAAGCTCTCTGGTCCCAGCTTTCCACGGCTTATACCACCCTATTAAGTATTAACCAAAACTGGTGATCCGGGACTTAACCAAATGCTTCATTGTTATACTACAATCTAAAAGCAAAAATTAAAGTTTGGTGTGGAAATTTTTTTTTGTTTGAAAAGACACAAGTTACCTAATTAGAATTATTATTTCTACATCCCAAAACTTCTAAAGATCCATTTGAGAGTCTTTCTAATCGATTCTCACTATATTAAAAAAATACAATTTATGATTTTTATAAGTTAAATTATAAAATACACTTTTCAACGTGATGATGATCTTTTAATCGCATTTCCAAATAAAAACTTAGTATTTTACATTAGTATTATTTAATCTAACCTTTCAAATTTTGTGGTAATACTTGAGATAGAGGAATAGATGATGTTTCTTTGGAGCATCAACCTTATATTTTGCTAATGGAAGTCTTTCATTGTATTTCTTGTCTGGGCTACTCAACAAATAGTAAAGGGGAAAATTATTGTAAAAAGTTTTCGGTCATTGCACCTTGTTGGAATCAATATTTGGAATGTTTTGGGCTATGGGATCTATAAAGGGATGAAAAGAAACACAGGAAAAGACATTGTCTTGCACTCTGTGCCAATTCATTTGGTCAGAGAAGGCCATGTTTGCCGGTTCAACTCACATTACACGTCAAAGAGAAAACATCAATTCTCTTCCCACAGTCCCTAATTTTCACACCTTCTAAACTCTTCAGCCTTCTATTTTCTTCCATTTTCTTTAAAATGCATTTATACTGTTTCAAATTCCCAAGTTTTTGTTTTATTTTCACTATAGCATGTTATTAATTCTATATAAAACTTTTGTACTATACACTAATCTATTATTAAAAGTTAAAAAAAAAGAATCATAGTCTCCTCTAACCCTAACCCAACTCCAAAAATTAAAAAATTTATATGATTAAATAAACGACAAATAATTAACTGTAGACTTTTTTTTTAATTACTTGACCGTGTTAATTACTAATCTTTACAATCCATGGTGGAACAACAAACAAAAATAATAATAATAAAAAAAATGCTTACCACATCGACAAATCCATCAAGAGAAAAACATGTTTTCTACTTTTGTCTATTGAACCCATTGGGTCCAAATAATTTTATAATTTATATTGGTAATCTTGGTTTCATTATTTTAATTATTTTTTATTTTCTTATATGGTGGGATGATAGAACTTGTCTCAATCAACTAATATATTATATATTTTTTGTTTTAGTTGTGCATGTACATAAAATATAACAAAAGCAACGCTTAAGTCAAATTACAATAAAAAAAAAATTATATTAAGGAACAAATGAGGGTATGATTTAGTATAACGAAGATGAAATGCGCATATAATAATCATAACCTAATGTTGATGTGTGCCTAAACTTTGTTTAATATTTTCAAAGATAATTTTTAAGGGCTTCCTTAAAATTTTATTTAATGAATTAATTTTGAAATTTGGCAAGTGGAAAGAAGATGGATTCCTTTTCTGGGTTTAATTTATTTTTATTTTTTATTTATATTTACAAACACAAGGTATTGAAAAAGCCAAAGAAGCATGCTTTTATTACTTTTCTATTAATTATTAAATAATAATAATAATAATAAAAGAGAGAATGGTTTTTATTAAACTTTAAAAAAGGTTACCGTGCAAAGCCATCGACATTTAATAAAGGATTCTGGTGTAATTGAATTTCTTTTTATTAAAATAAGCACTTGCTTTGTTTCTTGTCCCTTTGTTTATTGGCATGGCCAAAAGATGAGGGAATATTATGCAAAGAGTTTGATTATTATTTTGAAAGAAATCAGGTCCGAATCAAGGTGTGTTTGCAACAATGGAGTATGGTAGGAGCTACAATGCTTACTCGATATCCTTAATATTCCTCTAACATTCATTGGCTTTAACAAAATAATTATCAGACTTTAAAAAGTTTTAACAAAAAAAAGTGTAAGAAAAGGTTAAATTTTGTATAATAATTCATGTTTTTAACCATAAAATGCATGATTAATTAAGAGAGCAACGAATTCTTAATTAAAAAAATTATGATTTGAATATTATTATCTTTTGATAAAATTAAAATATTAATATTGCAAGAGTTTTGATTAAGAAAATACTACTCATTTTATCCCATTTATATGTCCATCTTTGATTTTCACACATATTAAAAAAATTAAACTTTTATTTATTTAATGTTATAAATTTATTTTTTATACTAATGATGTAATACTTTTATTATAAAAATAAAAAAATGAAAAATAAAATTTAAATATAAAAAAGTAAACTATAAAGTGTTTAAAAAATAAAGACTTTCCTTCGAAACATTAAAAAAAAAAAAAAGATGGGCACCTAAAACGAGAAGGTGGAAGTATAGAATAATAGTTATCCCTTTTATTAATCCATCTACCTACAATTAAAATAAATAAAAGGAGAAAAAATCTACATTTTTTATGTGCAAATTGAAGGAGTACATCTGCTAAAATATGAGTTGGCATAGAGGAATAAAGGTTATATAACATCTGGTTTTGTATTTGTATATAAGTTATGGTTTGATGAATTGTTAATATATAAATATTAATAATATTTTAAAAAATATTTTTTATTATATATAGAATTAAGTAGAATTAAATATATTTAATTTTTAAAAATTTAAAATTAATTTTTTTGATGAGATACGATTTATAGATTGATAATGCATTACAAATATATTTTTTATATTCAGTCAACATAGACCTATATTTAGTTTTAATTTATTAAGGGCGCTTATATTTTATTTTGTTTAAAAATATTCCATAGTTGATAAAGGTGTCACTATATTCAATAAGTGGAGCGGGTGTGGCAATAACGAGATCCGAGGCGAGGCCGGGCCACGGGCAGAGCAACTTAGAACTAAAGAACGAACGACGACGCAATCACAGCCCCTACTGTCGTGGTTGCTGCCTTGGATCGTGCCCTATTTTCCACGTGTACTTCCCCACTCCCACTCACTTAGCATTTACTGTTTGTCTTCCACTATGGCGACGTCATGCTTAGATGCCAGGTAAGCAGTCATACACGAGTTCTATACACTCTGCTGCCAAAGCATCATAGACCGTCCGATTTCCGGGGGTTGTTGAATGCTGGATTCCAGGTCAGAATCGCTTTTTTATGATGTGTTGGTCAAACCCTAGTTAAAGCCACGTCGGATTCCAATCCAACGGATAATCTTCTCTTACTGGCATCAAAGAATAAATCTTGATCGTTAGTTTCAATGTGGGTCCCTGATAAAAGAATTTGACCGAGAGGTCATTTCTGACCCCACCAAGACCCACGTGACTGATCTGCGCCTTTTGTGCACTGTACATTCCAGTTCCATTTTAATCTAAAATACGGGCAATCTCCCGCACTGGCTTACCTGTGGACTAGGAAAAGCAAGATATTTCATTTGGGTGGAGCAGGCGAATGAGCAATTGACAAGTGTATTTACTGGAGTGGGTCCACCGGATGAAAATGTAAAGAAACTTCCTCTTTGGGGGCATGATGTTAGCATTGTTTTCACACGCGCCCGACAAAATCGTGGGATAGGATGGGGATTGAGATTGCAGAAAGACAGGTGAGCCCCGAAGATAAAAGAAGATATATAGAGAACCTGACACGTGGCCACTTAGTGGGCATTGGCTATATTCCATCGGAAAGTGACGTTTCTGCCATGTTGGCATCTGGAAATCATGACCGTCCGATTCGTAAACGAGTGAAAGGTCGAGATCAACCCATCCGCGTGTAAAAGAACTCTGGGCCGTCTAGGTTAGCTCTGGAGTGGGGTTCCCGTGATTGAATGAGCAACACTAGATGTTACGAAATAAAAAAAAAAAAAAAAGGGTAGACATGGAGATTTTGAGCATTAAAAGAGCACAAAACAAAAAAGCCGGGTGAAAAAGCAGAGAAGCAAACGGAGAAAAGAAAAAAAAAAAAATAGAGGGAATAGAGAACACGGTGAACTTCCCGAGCAGAAAATTTTCTTTCTTTTTTTTTTCTCTTTTACTTCACTGTGGCGATCCTTTCGCTATAAAGAAGTTCAAATCTGAAGTTTCAACATTCTTTTCGCCGGAAATTATGTTGAATTCCCTGCCGGCAGCCTATTATCGTCGGAATATTTCATATTTTTGAAATTTAATCTAAAAGTATATTATGGAGAGAAACAGAGAAGTAAGAAGATCGCAGGCTCCGTCAAATGGATTACCTAGACGTCGTCAAAGAAGCAATAATCTCCGAGATTCACCTGGTTTGAAACTTTTCCATTTAATTCTATACAAGGTATTTTATTAATTTATTTTGAGTTTATTTTCTTAATCATTTTGCCTTTTATTTTTCTTGGGTTTGCAGTAGATGGAGTGATGGAGATGCAAGAGACGACGAGGCTAAGAGAAAGAGCCAGCAAGAGAGAAAGAGACCGAGATTTGTTGAATCAGAGCAAGCGTAGCAGAGCAGATAAGGTGGTTTTACCAGAAAGCAATAACGGAGAAGAGGGAGAAGAAAGTACAGAGGAGAGTTCAGGTGAAGAAGACGACTACGAAACCGAGCAGCTTAGTAACCGTAAAATCTCACCTTCAGCTAGAGTCTCCAGACAAATACTCCCTTCGAAGGCCACTGATGAAATGATTAGTTTTCCAGTTCCGAGAAAAGCTCGCTCAGGTATCAAAATTGTTTTTTATTTTTTAATTTTCTATTTTCATATACAATATATAGAGATGTTTTCTTTTTAGTGATTTATTGACTTTTGTGGGTTCTTTTTTCTCAGCTTCGGTAAAAAGGTCACATGAGAATTGGGTGGCTGGAAATGGTGGTTTTGTGGAGGATCAAAGCCACTGCCGAGCTTCGATTTCGCCGGCGCATCGGAGCGTAGAGTCTGACCGAGTTTCACCGTCTTCTTCTAATGGTTCAGTTAGAAAGAAGATGGTCAGCTTCTGATTTATTTTTTTGGGCTTTTCGATGTTTTGTAGTGTGCTTTTATGTTTGACGAATTTGAGAGGATTGATGAGTTTTGGGGTTTATTTTTTTGGATGTTGCAGAAGACAAATGGACCTAAGACTCGGCTTCCAAAGGCGACCAAGTCTTCGAGCTCAGTCCAGGAGGATATCGAGATTGAAATCGCAGAGGTTTTGTATGGATTGTTGAAGCAATCACAAATCTCAAAGAAGGAAGATAGCGCTGGAAATCCTTCTCCAAAGCTTGAATCTGAAGATGCAAATAGTTTCTCTACCGATATCAAGCCCTCGGCTTCACCTCAGATTGCGTGCTCTGCGCAGAGTCAATCCCAGACAACGGTTGTGCCGGATCCATTGGTTGGCGTTGGTGGGTATTTTCAGCTTTCAATCATTTTGCTAATAAGGTATTTTTTTATAAAATTTTTTTATTATTGGCATTTGCAGCGCCAGTGAAGAAGAAAGTTGAAGCTGAGGATTCTCCAACGCCAGTGAAACTTGATAATGAGCAAGGGGCAAAAATGGAAATTTGTTCACCAAAACAGAGTCAAATATCAGGACTTAATGCGGTAATTTCTGAGTCTAATCCTGATAAGAGTTCTGCTAAAATTGCATCAGTGTTAATGGAGTCGCGGGAGAACTTGGTGATGATTAAGCAGGGAGATTCGAAACCATCCGTTGAAGAACCAAATTCCGTAGATGGAGCCGTGAACAGGGAAAAGTCAGTTTCGACTGAAAAGAAATCCGCTAAATTGGATGTTGATTTTCAGGATTCCACAGTGACCAAAGCGTGAGCCTCAAAGAGTCTTTCATCTTTCTCTTTTTAATGAATGCTTTCAAGATATCTGAATTTTTTTTGTTCGCGTGGGATATCACAGAATATCGACCATGACGAAAGTGGAGAACCAACGTGAAGATAAGTTCAAGATCGATTTGATGGTGAGGATCTCCTTCTGTCGAAAATTCCGATTAGATTTCTTCCGTTGGTATTTTGCTGTCCAAATTACTGAAGGAAAAGAGTAATGAGTAATGCCCCCCCTTTCCAACAGGCTCCTCCTCCTACCGTATCATCTCCGGAATGGGATAGCCCTGTGGATATCGCAACGGATCATAAATACAAGGTTCTGGATGCAGAGTCGCTGAGTGCCTTTCAACACTAATGATTTCTCCTGTTTTTGTTAGTGGACTTAAATTTTTTATTTTTCATTTTTGATGCAGAAGATAGAGACTTTGGCCAAGAATGAAGGAAAGGTCGTGAAGAAAGAATTGAGAGCAGAAGATATTAAAGACAAGAAGATGGATACAATTAGGGAGAAGCGAGAATCATTAAACCTTGATTTGGAGAAGCCACATCAAGATAGTGATAGTGATTGTTGTAAATTTGAACAACATGGTCAAAAACAACAGTTATCTAAAGATGGCATTTCTAAAGTAGAGATAACCGGTAATTGTTAATATGTTTTAGCGTTGACTCACCGTGCTGCTCAATGAGTTTTATTTGTTTACCTTTAAGTTTCTGTTTGCTTGAATTATGATATGATGAGTTTACTGATTGATCGTCTCTTATTCAGCTCAATCTAGTTCGGTGCCAGTATCAATCACCCTTGCTGACTGGCCAAATTGTGTGCCGCCTCTGGGGTAAGCTATCAAGACCTTCATTTTGGTTCTGCATTTTGTTCTTGTTAAAAATCCTTGCGGTTGATATTATTATTTTGTTTCTAAGAAGTAGAAACTTTATTTTTATGGCAGGTATATGCCTCCCTTCCAGACAATTGCACCCATGGATGGAAGTACACGATCATCCACTGCATTGCAGGCATGAATACTGATTTCCTTACTAGGCCAAAGATTTCAATATCTCTGTCATCTTGATGGTTTAGTTTAATTGTACCATATTTTCTTTGTTTTGAATTAACTATGAGTTTCTCTCGGGAATGTGCAGCCTCCTCAATTCCTTCTTTCTCAACCTCGGCCTAATAGATGTGCCATGCATCATTTCATTGCTCGGAACATACACTTATACCAGCAGTTCACAAAAATGAACCATTTTTGGCCAGCAGCGCCCGGGTCTGGTTCTCTATGTGGAGCCAAGCCCAACAATCTCAATGTGGCACCATTTGCAGAAAATTTGATTCTTGGAAATCCAATGCAAGAAAGCTTCCCAAATGTGAATCTAAACCCTACGGAGGAGAAAGGTAAGGTTGCAGTGAGCTTTCCTGGTCGTACCAGGAAAGATAAAGGCTCTGACTGCTCCAATTTGATAGACACAGCCCAGAGGAAGCAGGCTGTGGTTCAGCAGGCTTCCCAAACAGCATCTGCTGGTAACTTGATGGTATGTTAATGCTTTTTAAGCCAATGTAGAATTCTTGCTAATTCTTTTATTCGGGTTTTGTTTGTACTTTTTGTAGTTGCATCATTTTATGTTAATTTGTTTGATTAGTTTTCATTTTTCTAAGTCTTGGTCTTATGTGTGGTTGCAGCATGGCCCTGCTTTCATATTCCCTTTGAGCCATCACCGAACAGCGGCAAATCAATCTGGGCCTTCTAAATCTGCTACCTCAACTAACAAAGCATCGATGACTAGTAATTCTTCAAAACCTGGAATTTCGACTAGCTCTGCAGCAATACCAGGAGTAGCAGCAGCTGTGAGCTTTAATTACCCAAATTTGAGTGCTAATGAAGCTCCATACTTGACGATACTACCAAACAACGGTTACCCTTTTGCTATATCTGCTCCTGTTGCAAACCATTCAGCAATTAGAGGAGGAACCCCCACTCAAGCGTTGCCTTTCTTTAATGGGTCTTTCTATTCTTCTCAGATGTTCCATCCTCAACTTCAACAGCAGCAAGCTTACTCTCAGCCTCTGGTTCAACCAGCTTATCAGAATGCAGTCACATCAAGTGGCTCATCATCATCCCACAAGCAACCAGAAAGTCAGCCGCCACGGGCTGGACAAGTTAGTAGCAATAACCTTTTGAGCTCAACAAGCATGCATTCACAGCAATTGCAGAAGTATAATATGCTCCCACCCAATCAATCTCGCAAAATGGAATCTGAGATGAATGGGGAAAATACAACCGCAAACACCCATAAAAGTGTTTATGCCCAGAACCAAGCACTTCCTCAACAGCCACTCAACTTTGCTTTGGTTCCCTCTGCAACCGCGGGTGGTGGTAGTGTAAAAGGAAATCACAGCGAGAAGCAGCCTTCGCAACTGAAAAATTTGAAGGGTGGAGTTGATCTCGTCCCTCCACAAGCATTTGGCATGTCATTTGCCTCTTTCACGGGAAACAACATAGCTTCAAACCTTAACTTCTCATCTATGGCACAAAACCCCACAATCTTTCATACCCTACCTGTACCACTAGCCGCACAACAAAAGAATCACCAAGTATCTGAAGGGAAGAATGGAGCTGGTTATTCCAATCTGGATGATGGAAAAAAGGTAAGTTCGGGGAAGGCACATACAACAAATGGGCAGACTTATGTTTTTGACAATTCAGCTAGATCTTTGAACTTTGTATCATCTCATGTCATTGGAAATTGGCCTCCTCGTTCAATCACCTCCACTACAGTAACCATAAATCCTCCCGTTGTTGCTAATTCATCAAATTCCCAACAACAGCTGCTTCAACTTCAGAAGCAGCACATGGTGCAACAACATCAGCAGCAACCTGCTACAGCTTCTCGAAGCAAAACTCAGACAACCAACACCATGCCTTCATCTTCTAATACTACCAACTTTTCTAGCAATGCTGCTATATTCCCACAAACATTGGCCCAAAGTAGCACCGCTGCCCAATCAACCCCGTGGAAAAACTCAGCTAGAACCCCACCTTCCCCAGCTACCAATGTCTCTGCCGTTAAAAATTTTCCTCAGCAACCAACAAGGCCTCCACAAGGCCAAACCCAGATATCGTTTGGGGTAAATACCAAGTCCGGCTTATCGCCACAGGGACAAGAAATGCCTGCGAGAGGCCTGTCCGCGTCCCCTATGATTGTTGGGTCTCCATGCAGTGGCAACTTGAGAACGAGTTCAGCAAGGGGCAAAGTTGGCTCATCAGTGCCTACACTGCAGTCACAACAGAGCGAGACTAATTCAGCTGGTAATGGTCAGGAGTCCTCTCCAGTGTGTGGAAGGAACGTGCCTCCAATCTTGAGCACATGCCCCAGCCACCTTTCCGAACTCAAGTATTGAAATTTAGCTGCAATTAGTATATTGCAACAGCAGACGCCTTCTTCTCAGAGTCTGCATTCGTGAAATTTGAAAGGGAAAGGCGCGCGACACGTTAGAAAGATTTGAGGGACCAATCTTTTCATGTTAAGTGACAGGCACGCAGGTTATTGTTATGCATGAGGAGCCGTGGATTTTGATTATATCTGGCAGATTCAATAAGAAAGGATGTTAAGAATTGAATGTGAAATGAAGTTGGTTGGAGCGGGAGATAAGATTCAGTGCAAGACAGAAATGTTCCGACATGGAACTCTGCACTGATGTAAAGATCAAAGGCCACCAAGCATCACAATCGGAGAGGCTTGTGTGAGTTGGCGGGGACTGGGCTCATTGATTAAGATTCAAGAGGACAGGATTATGTTTAAAGGAGGTTGGGCTTTGTTAAGCCTTACGCTTTTGAAGTTGAACCAAAGTGGGGACCTACCAATGTGAATTACGGGGCTTTAGGTTTTTTTTTTTTAAATATTATTATTAGTTTATAATTATTCATTTATAATAAAAAATTATTAAAATTTTATTACTTATAAACTTGGATTTCATGTAGATGATAGATGATGTGATTCAATCATGTTCAATGAGATCAAATTAATTTGATTGGCCTAAGGTGAGGCAGACGTGCAATAGGATAATCATTTTGCTAAGAAAACAATGTACCTAGTTGGATTCGTGGAAGCCCATTTGGCTATTTGCCCTGTTTCCATTTTCCTTCGTTTTGTAGTTGATTGGAGGTGCGGGACCGCAAGAGATATTTAAAGTTAGAAAAGAGAAGCAAAGAAATCTCTCAAGGTAGAAAGTAGAAGCTGTGGAGCTGGAAGCAACTGATGTTATTGGCCTTTTTGTATTCTTTTTTGTTCCTGTACCTCTGCTTTATGCACTAGCGTACGTTTCACACGATGACTAGAGAGTTTTAAAGATTTCAAACAATTTAAAAACCGAGTTATTTTAGCCTTTGACCCAACACAATCAAGGTTTCACCCCAGCATCCTTCCTTAAACAATAGAAGTTGCAGATCATCTATTGACTATTGTTGCGGCTGCCAGAATTCCACGTTTCACTTCATATCATCTTATTCTTATCGCCTTTGTCTTTTTATGAGGATAGAAAAAGGCGGCGGAAGGGGATGAGGGTCCCCCAACCCTCCCTTTTTCTTTTTTTTCAGTGGAGGCCTGGAGGAGGGCATCTAATAATCCACACCATCTAGCACCGTTTTGGGACTGTCGGATATAACACTACCAAATGTTTCAATCTCTTAAGAATAAGTTTAACCTGGAAGAATCTCTTCATGTCTTAAAAGGCATAAAAAAAAAAAAAAAAACCCAGTTCGATGACACTCTGTGAAACGTGAAAGGTGAAAGGTGAAAGGAAATGAAACAAGGAACAAAGATGCTTTTGAGTTTCTTTTGATGGTTCCTCATCTACTTCAGAAGGAATGATGCCGCATTGACCTCAACATCTTCCTTGGTTCGTCTATCAAATGGATCTTCACCGATGTACAAGTCCAAAATTGATCTACAAAGGAGTTTGCTCTGTATACTTCCTACCTCTTTACCATCAACTACATGATTTCGAAAAGAAAATAATTCGAAATTACATTTCATGCAGGGAAAAATAATATGAAAATTGAGTCAAGCATAAAACAATAGCTTTTAGTCATGCCGTAAAAGTAACCTTTGGAGAACAAAAAAAATAAACAAATATTTATTCAGAAGCAATAACAGCCTCTTAACCAGTTATGTATGAACCAAAGGTCTCAAATTTTACCACACGCTCCTCAGTTGAAATATATGCATCAAGATACATTAACATAGCAGTTGTGCAAGAGAAAACAGAGGGAGTAATGGACACTGGTTGCACTGACAGATGAATAATCGCCACTGAATAAAAGCAAATGAAATTCAAAGATGGCCTCTTAATTATAATTTAAAGATTAATTAGACAAGAATAACTTACTTATTGTCTTAAGTATATGGCCTCGTTCCTTCGAGAGATCTATCACAGATCCCCTTGGTACTTTATATTCATCTTTGAATTGACAAGTGAACCTGCAATCAAATTAGACATGACATTAAACTATCAATAAGAAATTCTCAAACAGGAAATAAGAGTAGGAAAGTTTAGGGCTATAGAAGTTTAAAAACAGATAGAAAGGGAAAAATTGAAGAAAACATATGTTAGTGCAATGCTGGGAAAATTAGTCAGAGACTCATGGTGGTTAACTTCAGCAAGTTAACAACTTATTGCGTAGCATATTGTGAATCATATTCTTAACAGAAAGTTCCACAACAGCCAAAAGCAACACCAGAAAAATGACAATTAAATTGTAACTTTCAAAGGTTAGAAGCTGTTAATTAAAAATATGAATTTCGGCTTATGAACTGGAATTTACCAACTACTAGGTAGAAGTTGATAGTAAAAAGCAAAGTTCACCTTTGAAGTAGTTCTTTATTATCTGATCCACCAAACTTTTGGAGCCTGCTTCCAACTGACTCTTCATAAGTACTACGTATAGCTCGGATGCTCAATTTTCTGTAGACAATCTGGAGTCTAACAGTCATGCATATATCAGCTTCCATAAGATCATTATTAAAATCTTTATTGTCTTTAAGTTCAGAAGCAGATAAATTCCCATATTTCTCACTCAAAAACTTCTTAACATCATCCCCATTGGCATAAACACCTGCAACAAGTTACCGGCATATAGAAATTGCAATCAACTTTTTTTCCCTTAAAAGTAATTGATTTGGTAGCTCAATCAACATTCAACCGTCCCTTACCATAAATGCACCGCAAGCATTGTAACCAACCGTTAATAACACATTGCAGCCAATGACTCGATTTTCGCCAATTGGCATCACTTATGCAATGCTATTACCAAAACTACCATATAAATTCTAGAAATTCTTGCATGCAAAAGCCTGGAATTTAAAAGCAAAATGAAAGCTGAAACCTTTAATTTTATCCGTAATTCCAGAATTTATAAACGTAAACAACGCTTAAATAAAAAGGAAAGAAAGAACATGTTTCTAGTCCAAAGTGTCTAAGTGGCTCCAATATACATTACCAGAATGAAGAATCACATAAAAACAAAAAAGAAGCAGAAATTTTCAGAGAATGCAAAAGAAATAACGTTACCAAATGCATAGACATCGATGTTCTTCAATCCCAAGATGCTCTTTTTCCTCAACCCAACCCCGAGAAGTCGAAGGGAATTTCCCAGAACCGGAGGAAAAGAAACTCCACTCTTTGGTTCGACGACGGGAGCTGAGCCATCAGCAAGAGAGAGCGAGCCCCAGAGAGGAGAAGAGTGATTTGGGAAGAGAAAATTCGCTGCGTTTTGGAGAAACGGGTGCTTCGGGTTCTGTGACACAACTGCCACGCCCGCAACAGCTGCAACTCCGACAGCTGCGGCGGCGGCGGCAAATGTGGCCGAGAAACGACGCGGGGTGGTGTTCCGAGGTGTTCCAGGCAGGTTCGTGGGCTGAGAAAACAAGAAGGGAAACCGCAGTGACCTCATTACTTTAAAAACTTTTTTATTTGTGTTAATAATCGAAAATAGGTTATTTAAAGGTAGAAGGTCTGACGTGATGTGCACCTGGACCTGGTCACCCAAAGGCTACTTTGGATATTTTCCATTAAGCCCAAAGTGATGACTTTTTCATTGTTTTGTACTCACTTAATTCGTGCAAGTCTTGGGCTTTTGCTGAAGGGATTCAGCCCCTTGGCGATCGAGAGTCTTGGGCTCAGCCTTCAACAACAAACTTTCCTATGCTTTTTGGGTCCAATCTTACGATAATCCAAGCTACGTTTTTAAACAGGTCAATCGTGTATAACATGCTTCCGATAAATTGAAGCTGATGCCAAACTTAAAGCATCATGTCAATAACTCATCTAATTTGTAGCAACGTAGTTTAAAATAATTCAAACAAACCAATGAATTATAATTGCAATAATTATTAAACTATTTGTTCCTCGACAACTTGTCCTTTTCACGAAATAAATTATAATTGATTTCTTCTCTTTTTGTTCTTAATCCATATTTTATTTTCTACTAAATTTGTTTGGGTGTTTTTCAACTAAAATAATTATTAGGTCCTAAATAATTTATTGTTGACAAAGCAAACATTTCAACCATCTCGTTTGTTTGTGGGAGGATCATTCTGGTTGGAAAAAAAGAATCTTAGCATATAGACCCCAAACAAAAACCACATGTAATTTCCACACTAGTTTATATTCATATTTTTTTTGAATTCATTTTTTTTTTTTTTTAAATATACTTATTTAGAACTTGATTATTCTTCTCTTCCCCGTACGTAGACGTTGCATGCATACCTAACCTGACTTTTATATTATCAAATAAGAAGTGTTATAGTAACGTGAATTTCGTTTAATTATATATTAGCTTGTTGATTACTAATAAGTTGTTGTTAATGGAAATTAATTAACCTTAATTACTTCACTTCATTTAGAAAACCGTCATGTGTTTTTAATAGATAAAGCAAGAAGAAAAAGCATGATATATAGTCCAATAATTGTTTTGGTGTACCTTTGCTTAAGACCACAAAAGCAAGATTTCATCATATAATAGATAAATGAAAGCTTAATTTTTTTTATATGATCACAAATACAATCTTATTATATATGGTGTACATGAAACGACACAGATAGCGAGAGAGAGAGAGAGAGAGAGAGAGAGAGAGGCATCAATGTTATGAGAAAAGCTATTAGATTCCGTAGTGAAAACAAACACTTGACAACCTAGACACACACTATTTTGTATTGGATGGTTTGGGTTCCTTCTATTGTATATGAATTACTGTTTTTCGACAATTGTTTTTTGTTGGTTTGTTTGCTGTCTTAAGCAAACCTTAAATCCTCCATTATTACTTGTAGTCCATCTAAATTCTATAGGATTGGTTTTACTTTCTTTTTCTTTTTTTTTTTTCTGTCATCCTGGGCGATACTCGCCTTAAAACTCTGGTTTAGTACGCAACGAAGTAGCAATTAATCTGACTTTTATGATTTTCATATGTTAGTTAGTGGCTTTAAGCGGAACTAATTAGAGTTGATTTGATAGCATGGTAAGACGAATTTTCATCATGTCTTGATGTTATTTTATGATTAAATCCTTTCGATGAAAAAAAGATTAGTAATCTCCAAATATATTCTATATAAACTAATTAAATAAAAAATTTTCAGTGTTGGTCGACTGCATGTGTAGCTTTCCTATATAACTTTTATATCATTTTTGATAGTCTGCAAATTGCTGAATTTTGTCACCATCGGTAGCGCAAATTGATTACGACATTGCTGGAATATAGTCGGATATGTTACTTCCGAAAATAGTTGCTGGAGTAAGACAATTGAAAGAATAAATCATTCTATGCAAATAAAGATTCCCATAATTTTTATTCCATTTTTCCCAAAAAAAAAAAAAATCATTATCCAATTTAATTGTTTAGTGATCTAATTTAATAGGTTCATAGAGTGAAGTAGGATTTCTGATCCCATAAATCTAATGTTTGTATCTCTCAAGATTCAAATCCAAAATTTTGAAATTGAAATCTCAAAAATTGAATAATTCATTTTTATAGGATTCAAATCCCAAGTTTTCAATTTAAAATTTTAAAATTTAGTATTTCATATTTGTTAAGAATTAGAATCCAAAATTTCCATCTTTATTATTTATCACTGAAAATATACATCATAAATTTGGTGACATGTCTTTCCCTCTTTCAATAAAAAAAAAAAAAAAAAGAGGTGTCAAAGCTTTGTTATTCATCATTGGCAATACAACTTAAAGTGACAGGTATTCCTTCAACTGTACTATTTACCATATTCAAAATCCAACAAAATTTGATTACTTTTTCTTCAAAATAACATGCAGCCAATCAAATTACAACCCCAAAATTAAGCATTATTCCAGTACCATTGGCCACTGTATATAAATAATTAATTTGTTGTTCAAATCAGGAATTTGAAAATTTTGCATAAAAGTAATAAGGAATATAAAATCATATGGTTGAAATTACAGTAGTAAACTAATCGAAAGCAAATGGAAAGTCGTAGTGGAAAAATTCCAAAAGAAAATAAAGAAGTAATAACATTGAACACATTATTTCTTTATTTAATCATTTCAACAATTTGTGAGTTCAAATCAAGCAATCACTTATCAAGTATTTCAACCTATTACACAGACATCTTATAATTGGGATGGAATCTTAATGAAATATCTATACCATCCATTTACAGTACTGTACATTTCAATTCAAATGACCAAATATATACCAACAACTAGAAAAATTCTATAAATACGTGGAATGCAACTATACGTATCTGCTCACCAACAAAGAAAAGGTGGGGAGATAGTATTGGAAGAGTAGCGAGTAGATAGTAGTGAAGAGGGGGAGGGGGCCGGAGGAGTGACAAAGAGAAAGGAAAAGGACAGGAGTGCCTCAATTCCATATATATTTGGATGATCCCATGCACCTATTAGCTGGAATCTCTTGGGAAGTCGTCTCTGTCTGCTTGCCTTATTTCTTTTCTACTTTTAAATGCTGTGAGTTGATACACTTGTCTCTCAATCACAACCGATATCCCCTCTCCGCAGCAAAACAAAAACATGTTTTCCCACTCCATCCACCACCACCTCTTCCTTATAAGCTCCTCGTCTCCTATTCCTTCTTCTTCTTCTTTCTTCTCCAACAACCATCATCCCTTACCTTTTGCAGGTTTGTTAATTATATATATATATATATATTATATCAACTTATTTTCATCATCAGTTTCACTTTTGTTATTGTGATTTTAATTGTTAGTAATCATGGTTCTGCACATGTGCGGAGAGACCAAAAAAAAAAAATCGAAACTCCTTTTTTTATTATAATCTGATCTTAATTCCTTTTTTTTTTTTTTTTTTTCTCTTTTTGTCTTTTGGTTTTTGCAAAATGGATCTTCCTTCTCTGAAATTAGATAAAACTTGGGAAAACTCTCTGGAAAATTTTTATAGTGATTGGATTAATCATCTTAATTTTGCTTTTTTAAATTCTGGGATTAAAAACTAGCATACAAAACCAAAATATTTCTCAGTGATCGTACAAAACAACATGCAATTCATATTGTTTCTGCGGGAGGGAGACATTCATTATGTTCTCTTCTGTCGTTCTTTCTTTCTTCCCCCCGCCTCTCTCTCTCTCTCTCTCTCTCTTTTTACCCTCTTGTTAGAAAAATTGATATAACTTAATCAGAGACCTTTTACTTGATCTTTTGCAATAGTGCTTTTAGTTTCTTATTTTTACTTTTCAAAAAGAATGGTGTTAAAACAGTTTATTCCAACTCTTTAATATTATAATATATCAATAGCCGTTTGGGCTCATGCCAACATGTTGTCCATAATATTTCTCCTATTTTTATTTTATGTGCTTAGGTTAAAATTTCATAAATCACTAATCAGCGAAGGTAATAATACCAGGTGGATTAATTTTATATATATATATATATTAATCTGAATTTTAATTTTAACTCCAGGCATTTGGCCGTTATGGGGAAAAGACAAAGGAGATAACTTTGATATTCGCCACCTATGCACTGCTATTTCCAAACCCCGCACTCAAGGTACTATCTTAATTACAAATTTAACATTTTTGTATTTTGGATTTTTTTCCTGGATTTTTACCACCATATTTGATAGTAATTACTAGTAATTATAAGTATTTATGTGCAGAATATGCCGGCGTGTTTCAAAATGGTCTGCCGGTGATAAAGTGGAAGGAAATTGTGGATGATGACATAGAAGAAGGGGAAGCTCTTGAGGTTGATAATTTCAACAACACCCCCCCCCCCCAAATAAAAAACTTATTTTTTTAGTTCATATATATATATGGTGATATGATTTTTTTTTTTAATCCAAAAAAGGTTTTGGAATCGAATAAGATTAAGGAACGTGTCGACACCATTAAATTCATGTTGGGTTCCATGGAGGATGGAGAGATAAGCATCTCAGCTTATGACACAGCCTGGGTTGCTCTCGTTGAAGACGTCCAAGGTAGTGGTGCTCCTCAGTTTCCATTTAGCCTTGAATGGATTGCCAACAATCAGCTTCCTGACGGATCATGGGGCGATAGGCACATATTTACGGCGCATGATCGATTGATTAACACTTTGGCTTGTGTTATTGCTTTGAAAAAATGGGATATTCATCCAGATAAATGCCAGAAAGGTATTGTAAAATTTTGTTTAAAAATAAAAGACAGAAAGACAGTTTCTTTCCGGATTTGCCTAACTAATATTTTGGTTTTTTTTTAATGAATACTTTAGGAGTGTCATTTTTCAAAGAGAACATAAGCAAACTCGAAAACGAGAATGCGGAGCATATGCCGATCGGCTTTGAAGTGGCTTTTCCTTCGCTTCTCGAAATAGCTCGAAGTCTAAACATTGAAGTACCGTATGATTCCCCCGTCTTCCAAGACATCTATGCAAAGAGAGGTCTAAAGCTCACAAGGTAGTTTTAACAACTCAAATTCCCAAACTTCCACAATTATTATATTGG